GCTGCCAACCAACTCCAGTGGTGCTGCCGCCACAATCAAGTGGCAGCCTGGTTCAAGGTAAAGTGTCTTGCCCTGGAAGTAGAGAAGAGAGAGCAGAGGAAGGGAAAGAAGAGGAACGCTGGCCTTCAGCCTGCTACCCGACAAGTGCAAGGTGCTGCACCTGGGGAGGAAGAACCAGCACCATACCTACAGGCTGGGAAACTCCCTTCTCATCAGTGCAGAGGCAGAAAAGGATCTTAGAGTCATCATTGAAGCCAAAATGAACATGGGCTGGCAGTGTGGGGATGCAGTCAGGAAGGCCAACCGCACCTTGTCATGCATCCACAGATGCATCTTGAGCAGGTCCAAGGAGGTGATCCTCCCCCTCTGTGCAACACTGGTCAGGCCGCAGCTGGAGGACTGCATCCAGTTCTGGGCACTGCACTTCAGGAGGGATGGGGACAGCATGGAGAGGGTCCAGAGGAGGCCACTTGCATGATCTGGGGACAATAGGGCAGGCCCTATGAGGAGGGGCTACAGGACCTGAACCTGTTCAGCCTCCACAAGAGAAGGCTGAGGGGGATCTAGTGCCCTGTTACAAACTAATCAGAGGGGACCAGCAGGCATTGGGGGAGTCCCTGTTCCCCTGAGCACTACCGGGAGTGACCAGGAATAACAGTCACAAGCTGGCAGAGGGGAGAGTCAGACTAGACATCAGGAGCCGCGACTTCACTGTCAGGGCAGGTAGGATCTCTTGGAAGTTGGTTCCAGAAGTGGTGCTGGCTCCTACCCTGGGGGTCTTTAAGAGGAGGCTAGATGTACACCTTGCCGGAGGCGTTTGACCCCAGTACTCTTTCCTGCCATGGTAGGGGGTTGGACTCGATGATCTGCTCGGGTCCCTTCCATCCCTACCAACTATGAAACCCTGCAGAAAGACCTGCAACAGCTGCGGACAGGTCTGTGGCTCAAGGATTGCACTTTTGAGTTGTCTTGAGACCCATCAATGAGCCCCATAGAAATCACCCTCAAACCAAGGGAGTGCTAGTGATTGATGGGATAAGTCTTCAAGGCAGCCCTTCCCCCTGCTCAGCCTTTGCCTGCCCCTAATGTCACAGGCCATGTTCTGTTTCCTCTAGGGCTGAGAGGCCAGCAGAGCTCATCTTCTGCCTCCTGCAGCAAAGGGCCCAGCCCGAAGCTGAGCTCTGGTACCTTGGAGATTGTGCATGGGCTGCAAGTTCTGGCTGAGGTCATTGCATTGTATTTTTAATGCATCAGTGGTGCTTGCAGGGGTGGTGTTGTGCCCCCCTCAGAGGGGCTGCAGTTGGCTGCTAGATGTTAATAGCCATCCCTTGGGGTGGAAGGAGCTTGGGGTCCTGTGCGAAAGCCACTAGTTATGTGTGACCCAGGTCTGGGTTTCACAACGATGGGGCAATGCTCCAGCTCAGTTCCAGAGGATGAGGCTGAGCACAGAGGTGAAGGATAGCCTTGCCACTGCCTCCTCAGGCAGTCCCCCTACCATTAACTCACCCTCTGAAGCTCCCTATTGTGTACGTAGCACAAGGCAGTTCCATTCCCCAGTTTACCCTCCCTTCTCTCACCCTTGGCTGTGGCATGGATTTGCAGGCCTGCTGTTCTTGCTTACAAGACTTTTGTCATGTTGTTCTCAAGTGACATCAGGCTCCCTCAAGTCTCCCTACCTGCATTTTCCCCATCAGCCCATAGGGCTGGGGGTGACTGAATGCCCCATATGCTTACAGAATGTCCTCCTTTCCCAGTATGCTCATGGAGGTGACATGCTATGGTCCAAGGACCGCTCCTGGTATGTGGCACAGCCTCCACAAGATTTGAATTCCCCCTGGTCCTGCGGAGTGAGCAAAGGCTCTAGCAGCAGCTGTTGTATGAAGGGGACCCCCCTGCTCATGCAGAGAAGTGGGGGGAGGGTTTAGAGCCCCAAATGGGGAAAAAGTGCCTGAAGTTGGCCCTGTGTTCCCAGCACTTAATGCTTGTGTTCAGCCTGCACTGACCCAGTCCAAGGCATTGAACGTGGGGCCTCTCAACATTTGCTCCCAAGTCACTGCAATGGGGCTGGAGCTATTGCAGCAGTGGAATCCAGTTTCCTTTCCCAGAAAACAGGCAGGGAGACAGAGGTAATAACCAACCTGCTCTGCACAGCACCAAATGAATGGAGAAAATACCAAAGGAGTCTAGGACTTGCCCAAAGAGGAATCTCTGGTAGACGTGGGAAGTGCTGCTAGGGTTCTGGTCTGCATCCCCCTCTCCAGCCACTGACCACATTTAGTCCCTGGAGCAGACTTGTTCAGACTTCCTACACAAGCTGCAGAGAACAGGGCTGGTTTTCCTTCCCTGGGGGCTGGGTGCAGGACTTCCTACGTCTTCCCCTATCTGCAAAAGACAGAACAGCTCTGGCAGTTGTAAGCAGGAAGATAAACAGTGCGTCATGGAAGCGGCACAGCTGGTTGCACTTTAGGTCGTGACTCCAGGTGAGTACCGAGCTCCCCCGTGGATTGCAGAGCTCCGACTGGCCCTGCAGCACTAGGTCTGCTGCACGGGCAGCTCACGTAAAGGGCAAGCTTGTGTGGCATGTGTCCGGCGCAGGTGCACCCCTGCACGTGGGGTAGCGGAGCTGTCTCAGACCACTCTGCTTCCAAAGGAAGCACACAGCACTGGCTGCAGGTTGAAGACCAGCAGGGGAGTAGCAGAGCCAAGATGCTCCTGCTCCGCACTACTCACCGGCATAAGCCTTGGCCGCACCTAGCCTGTGCCAGTCAACACACCTGAGATGGGAGCTTAGAGGGGTGCAGGACACTTGCTGCACCCATTCTGGGGTAGGGCCCCAGTACAGTGCTTCCACCCTGGGTGGCTGGCCCCTGTGTATGTCCCCAGAGAAAAAGCTTCAGCTAGTCGTGACTTCCTAATTCATTCCTTGCCCTTGCAGTCACCAAGGCAGTGGGGCTCCCATGTCACTTCTGCTCTCTAGCTAGGGCCTGGCATTGTTGGGCTTCTTCCTGGGTTTGCAGTGGCTGCGGGTTATGAGGGGGCAGCAAGGGGAGGTGCTCTGGTGGATCACTGGGCAAGCACAAGTGGCCTCCCCCAGCCCCACTTTCCCCATGCCTTAGCACAGGTTTGTCTCGCTGCACAAGATGAACCCCAGGGCATGGGGGTGCGGAACAGCTGACCAGCTCATGCTTGGCAATGGGGTGTCAGAAAATATCACCCCGAGATGTTCTGGTTACATTTACTCTCAGGCAATCACCTGTGGCTGCTGTGCAAAAGCTAAGCAAAGCAGCCCTCTCTTCCCCAGCTCAGATTAGCACAAGAAAGGGAACGGCCCACCGGAGTAGCCGTGGCTGTGCAGCTCTCCACCAGATGGCAGCCGCATGCCAGGCTTGTCTCAGCCACCCCACAGTGCCTGCAGCACCTGCAAAGGCAAGTAAAGCAAGCAGCAGCTCTGCACCCTCCACGCTTTAAAAACCAGTTCAGCCAAATCCCAGGCTGACTCCCTGAGGTGTGGGGTCAAAAGCACTGTGCTCCAGCACACTTGAATCCACCTCTCCTGCCTGATGCATCACCCCGACCTCAGGGCTGCAACGTACTGAACTGGGGGTGCTCTTCCTGCGGCTAGTGCTATATGAGCAGCAGAAATAGTTACTGGAGCAAGGACTCGGACCCATATGTGTCCTCGGGTCCAAGTCAGACTCTGCCTCCTGGGTCTCCCCAGCCTGAAGCCTGGTGCTTGGGGGATGGGCTGCAATGCCCTCCAGAAGAGGAGGGAGAGGTGGGGCAGCACAACCCGCTCTGACCTCAACGGCTCAGCCCCCCGCTCTGTGGCAGCCCTGCCCTGCATTTGCAGGGCCTTGCCAACTGGCTGCTCGTTTCCCTTCTGCACAGCCTGCACACCACCCCAGCACAGATTATGAACCACGTTCAGCAGCGACATCCAATGCTATCAGCACCAGGGTAGCCTGGTGCCTGCACAGGGCCAGCCCCCGAGCTGGTGGAACAGCAGCAAAACTGTCACGTGGGGCCAGGGGGTATGTACACACGCACGCCCTAGGCCTGTGCAAAGCAGCTAGTATTTGCTTCAGATTCATCCGATTCGGGGGACAGTGATTCGAAGCACTGTCCTGAATCGACTTGGCTGAATCTCCAAATTGAACAGGCCTCACCCCCTCACCCCCGACAACGGCTGCCCAGCCTGGCCCACCCCAGCATCCCAGCTCTTAAAAAAAAAAAAAAGCCCCGCACTTACCAAATCCTGCCAGGCAGGGGGGCAATCCCCAATGTCCCATGCTGCATGGGGGGGCTCTGCCCAGAGCCCCCAAAGGCCATTGCAGCAGCTGGTGAGGGTTGTTTGTTTTTTTTAAAGTGCTGGGATCATGCAGGGCAGCCATTGACAGGGCGGGGAGAGTGGGTGGGGGGCATGGGGGCTGGAGGAGTAGGCAGGAGATAGAGCCTGGCAAGGGTCCCGCCGTGGTACCTTCCTTCCCCACCCCCCCACCCCCCGATTGACCTAGAGCAGAGGCTTCAAATTGATTTGGGCATTTTAATTGGTCTCCTGCTTTGATCTGGAGATTCAGCCACTGAATTGGGCTGAATCTCCTCCAAATGGAACCAGCAACTGAAGCTTCACACAACCCTCGTTAAGCAGCCGGTTGGCCCTGGCAGGCACTGGAGCTGAAGAATTGAGCACCTGACCTGCAGGGACATGGAGGAACGCCCCCTTCCCCATGCTGGGGGCTGAGCGTAGCTCCTTTCGGCCCTGCCACTCACTCCTTCAACGTGGCATGCGACTCCTGAGGCAGCCGTCCCAGCCTGCCCGATGCCCCCCTGCAGCCCAGTCCCAGCAGCACTCTTCTGCACCACTGAGAGCCCCAAGCTCACTCCCCCCCAGCCAGTGCAAGCAGCATCCTGGCCCCAATGCTCTGCTCCCAGCCCAGAGCTCTCACTGCAGCAACCATCTGGTTTAGTCAGGCACAGGGAGCCCCACTCTCCCCTACACACATGCTTTGGGGCAAGGATTTATTTACACATTTTACAGTAAACCAAACAGAATAAAGTGCATTATTTAGAAGGTATGGCCACAGGGTGGGTCAGCACTTTGCCGCTGATGTGCTGCTTTTCCCATTAGTGTTAAGGTTTTCAGGCAGCATCTGCGGGTCAAAGCCATAGCGGATGTAGCGGTAGATCTCCTCAGCCTTCTGCTGGCTGACCTGGGCGCCAGCAGCGATGTCCCTCGGTGAGCTGCAAGGTCAGTGCAAAGGGGATCTCAAACACAGCTCTCTGGATGCCAGCCCATGACAGGGAGGTGTCATGTGGGATCCAAGGAAGATGCTAAATAGACAAAGCTGCAGGACTGCAATACAAGGAGGGTACCAGAAATGCCAGGGAACCTTTCACCGCCTTCTCCCCAGGGTTACAGGGAGCGTGGCCTTATCAGGCCAAGCAAGGCCAAGGCTGAGCAGAGGGAGAGGAGCAGAAGCTATAGAGGCAGAGCAGAGGCCTAGTAGGTCCAGGTTACACCCCTGAAGGATGCAGGGAGGAGCATGGAGCCCGAGGGCAGAAAGGGAGGGGAAGCACCTGGCACAGGGGACAGCACATTGAGTTGCCTGCGTGACCCCATCCTGGAGAGATCCTGAGAGACAGAGGCAAGGCAGAGACATGAAAGCCCCAGCCAGCACAGCCCCTCAGCAGTCAGGGAATGCGAGATGCACAGTGCCACCTGCCCCACCTCACCTGTTGGCCATCGTCTTCACAGACCCAAAGCGGTGGCACATGTTCAGTGCAGTCAAGTGACTGATGTTGGGGATGCTCAGGTAGAACCGGAGAGCGTCCTGCTTGGGACTGCTCACCTCGGCTGGCACAGCGATGGCTGCGTTCTTCCTTCGCTCCACCAGAGCCAGGTCTTTCAGCAACTTGGCAGTTTCCTCTTGGCAGGAGCTGAAGAGGATCCTGATTCCCGCCCGGACAAAGGCGGACAGCATGCCGTCGTAGTGCTTGGTCCTGTGGAACTGGCGCAAGGCCTCTCCTGCATGTTGAACAGAAGAGCTGAGAGTTTGTTTGCGAAGACACTTTTTCTTTAACTCCTAACTGCTGAGAAGAAAAAAGGCATCGGTAATGATCACCGCCCATCACCAGTTATTGTACAACCAAAGTAAGGATTCTTTCCCGGTCCAGAAAATTCAGCGTCAGGAGAGGAGGAAAAACTGCCCAATGCAAGCAGCTGGGAGAGATCACTGGCGAGAAGGCTGTTTTCTTGAAAGATGGGGATTTTAGGATGCGAGACCAAAGCCAACACAAGAGCTACATGAGAGGCTGGGACGTGCAAAACTAAGGGGTGGCGGGAGGGTGCAGCTACCTGAAGGGACTGGGATGAGCAGAGGGACAAAGGGCTGAAGTGAGATTACATCAGTTAAGGAGCAGCTGTCTGAATGTATGCGATGGACAAGAGACAAGTAGTCAATAAAGGTGGGAGCAGACAATTAATGCAGCTGGTAAGATGGCAAAGGGAAAGTAATACCTACTGGGATTAAAACCACAGCTCGTGTTCTTGTAAACAAGCCATAAGTCTAAAATACCCTGATATGTGCTCCTGTACCCCAAAGACCATACATACTTTGCTTTGGGGGGGGGCAGAATGAAGAAAACAAGATTTCCCAGAGATGTGGCTGCACAGAGTAGGGACAGAGCCTGATCTGCAACCAGCTCGCCCTCTCTTGCCCGCTCAGCCAGCACTGCAACTGTGCAGCTGCACTGAACTGTAACTGGTCTCTATGGCCAGCTCTACAAATTTGTAAAATCTAAAAGCAGGCTCCAAGGCTGGGAAGCAGGAGAACAAACCAGCACTAGCTGCCAGACAGCTTAGTCGTTAGCTTGGCTAGTGGACATCAAGACTGTTAAAATGGAGACGGTTGTTAATAACTGTGGAGTGAAGAGCAATGAGCCATGAAGTCAACTGACTCCCTCAGCTGTCTGAATAGAAATGCCACTGCTGCAGCCAGGCAGTTGGCTTTAAACTTTGGGCAGCAGAGGACTCAAAGTGGGGTGCTTCTATTCTGGGTAGAAAATCAGCTTTCCCACTCATGAAACCCCCCAAATTTGTAAGGCTAATTTTGGGGGGAAGGCTGTGCGTGGTTTCCAAGTCAGTACGATACATCCAATCTATCCTCTGACAGAAGGCTGCATTGGCTGTTGCAGAGGGACACTGTAGTTTTCTTTTATAACTATTTAAAAAAAAATCCAACTGAACAAATGTTGGTTGGTGGCATTTTGCTTGCTTGCTTTTGTCACCATAGCAACAAGCACTGTTAAGAATAATTAAAATATATATCACCGTACCCAATCTTGTTACTTTATAAAACATTGTGAAATCCTTAAGTATAGCTCTCTTGCTCTTGTACTCTCTCTCCCTCTCTCTCTAGCAATTATTTGTCTTGAATCCAAAGGCTCCCCGTGTCCACATGCTGGACACAGTAGCATAGTGAATACTGACCTGCTTTAATCCTGTCCTTTTCCACAATCACACATATCCTCTCAAACATGCTCTGCAAATGCTGAATCCGCTGTATCAGTTTACTTCTGTTCATGTTGTTCAACAGTTCCGACTGAAATTTCCTCTCCACTACCAGCCGGTTGCTGACAATGTAATCACAGCCACCAAGAGAGCAAACCTGCACCTTTATCTCATGAACTGCCTTCAGGGAAGAAATTATTTCTGATCCAGAGGAGATCTCACGACTGTCCACCAAAATGCAGGGCGGAGCTTCTGTTTCCAGAAGCCTGGATGAAGCAGGCATGGCAGCCGAGGACTTTCCTTTGGAAGTGGACTGGCCTGCATCAAAAGTGTTTGTGCGGAAGTTGTTTGAAGAATGCTCTACCTGCAAATGTTGAAAAGCACAACATAGCAGGCTGGTAACAGCAACATGCAACAAAAGTGTGGCACTCAATCAAAATATACCTTTGAGATGCAACAGCCTAGCAGCAACGCATTTGCTTCACATCGACCCAGCCGTCCCTCAGAAATCATTTAGGAGAATGAGCTATCATGTCTCAGGCATAGTTCTTTGGCATGACAGAAATTTAAATAACAAGATCAGCATTCTTAAGCCCGCCTGCCTTGGGCTAATTTCCCAAATCAGTATTGAGAAGCTCAAGTAATGCCTTGAATTCCAGAAGTGCTCAGCACCACAAATGCCAATGAAGTTAACAGTAACTGAAGTAGATTGCCTTCGTTTCTATTTATGTGCCTAAATAAGGATTTAGGCCACACAGGTCCTGACTTTGGAGCAGCATGTACACATTTTATGGGAGGTCCTACACACACACACACCCTGTGCTCCCTGATGTTCCCTATTATCTGAAATATGTCCAAGATACTCAATAACTAAGAACAGTATGAAATCACCAGCATTTTGTCCATTCCTAACATGACTCAGACACTGACCCCCTCAAGGTTATGCTAGTACCTAGAAAGACTCAACAAGGAAAGAGGGGACACATCCATTTTACTTGCACAAGTAGATCCTGGACCATTCGTATCTGAGTGGTTCACCACACACTGAGGTCATTGTGGGTTGCTGAATTAAAGACAAGCCTCTCAGCTGTTTGCTGCGGCTTTGGCTCCCAAGGGGACCACATCTCCAATCAGCTGGAGCTCATTAGCAGTCCTGCATGACTGACTGGTGAAGCAGCGCAGGTGGAAGTAGAGGCTGCAGCAAACGGAGGCACCTCAGCAGTCCTGGGCAGCCACTTGCTGTGGCAGCCCTCAGCTGGGCTGCAAGCCCTCCTCTTCACAGGAGCCAGGAGCCTAACCTAGGCTCTGCTGTAAGCTATGGCACAGGCCCCCCCATTTACGACTCAAAAAGCATTAGAGGTAGGGACCACTAATTCAGGCTCCAGCATGGGGAAAAACGGGCTCCCTGCAGGCCTGCCAGAGCCAATTTCAGGCATTTTGCAGGGCAGGCTCTCCAATACCTCTAACTGGTTGAGGGAGCACGCCATGGGGTGGATTACCATTGAACAGCAGCACACAGGCTGTTCTCCAGCTGTTTTCAGAAAGTAAAGCTCATCATTTATTAAACAGCAACTTTTAAGTATAGCTTAGTACTTAAATTTCTTAATGAAGCCATAATAAATAACCTTTATTAAACAGCAAAGCAATGCAAAGCAAAGCAGGGCTTGGGAAAGCTGTGCCAGGTGGGGGGAGCCCCTGCAGTGGGGGCAGGCACCTAGCATGCCTATGCCTGCAGCTCCTAGAGCTGGGGGTACTTACCTGCTCCACTTTGGGCAGGGCTTTTAAACTCCCTGCCAAAGCAGGGAATCAAGCAACCTGATTGGCTGCCCCTGGAAAAATGTAGGGCTTCCACAGTGTTTCCAGGGCACTGCTGCATTTTGCCTCCATGCTTCAGGTAAGGGGTTTTTGTTGGGGTTTTTTTCGTTTTTGTTTTCTTTTGGGGGTTTTTTGGGGGGGGTAGTTGTTTTTGGTTTGTTTGTTTGTTTTTAAC